ATCATCATCATCATCATCAACTTCATTATCATCATCAACTTCATCTTCATCTTTAAATTATTTTTTTTTCCTTCTGCTCCACCATCTTCTACTCTTCTTCTTCTTGTTTTGTCCGTCGACATCAACGAGTAGTTATCGATATACGGCAAAGCCTTACCCCCACGCGCCCCCTTGAAGTTGCTTTATTTCCCTCCTGTCGTTCCTTTAATCTCTCTCTATCTCTCTCTCTCTCTCTCTCTCTCTCTCTCTCACTCTCACTCCGTCGCTCGCTCAAAGTCCCCTTCACCGCGGAGAACGGCCACGAGTACAGTTTTTTTTATGGCACGTCGACCAATAGGTTGGTATTAATAACGGGGTTGGGCCCGCGGGGAGGAGCGGTACGTAGGGAAAAAGACGGCGGTACCACGATCCCGCTGTCGGTCCTTGGCGAATTTTGCGAGTAACCAGGCTCGGGGGTCGGGCACAGGGGCCGCGTGGTTCGGTTTGCGAATTCCCCAGGGAGGCGTTGATGGGACGGGGGGGGGAGGGACTAAGCGGTACGAAAAGGCGTCGGGTGTCAGACAATGATAAAGCGCCGTAGCCTCGCGCTGCCTGATCTCTTTTTTTCCCTTCTACGGTTCAATTCCATTTAATAAAGCCGCCCACGTGAGGGGCGCGCGAGGAAGAGAAGAACGGCTCCGGGATCGGGACCGCTCGCGCGCGGAGGTGCAATGTTTAGAACGCGGTGCAGGAAGCGGCTCACACGTACGCGTCCCACCAGCGCGCGCGAAGACGGCCCTCGCCTATTCTTCGGCGCGCGAGGGCGGGGGCGGGGTCGCGGGCACAGGGGAGAGGTTGGCGACGGCGGCAGCAGCGGTAGCAGCGACGGTGACGGTGACGGTGACGGTGACGGTGACGGTGACGGGGACGGTGACGATGGCGGTGGTGGTGGTGGTGGTGGTGATGGTGGTGGTGGTGGTGGTGACTGCGCATAGCAACGCTCGAGGCGCAAAAAGCCGTCGTTTATCGAGGTTACAAGGCTCTCGGAAAAGTCGCGGAACGGAGGCATTTTTGCGGCAAAGGCCGCGGCGGCCACGAAGGATGGCGCACTCGGCCGAGCGATGCCAGCTGTCGCAATTGGCAGCGAGGCGCGCACCGAGAGCCGATAAGAGCCGAGTAATTACGTAAGGCGGCGGTTTAAAGATGGTATCGCCGCCGCGAGGGACAATGCGCGCTTACTTTCTTTCTTTCTCGCGAGGCTGATGAGGTCGAGTGATCGAGTGATCGAATGATCGAGTGATCAAGTGATCGAGGGCCTAGCGTTTGGCAGTGGTGACCCTGATGTTGGTCGGGTAATATTAATGATGCGCCGGTGGGGTGGCGATACATTGGGAGCGGCTGGCCTCCCTCCCTCCATCGCATATTCGGGTTTTTGCGCAAAGAGCTTAGCAGGTTGAGTCGAGGTGGGAAATATCGATTTGCGAACAAGTGAGCGAACGAACAAAGTCGGAATAGGTAGAGCCGGAGAAGGCACGAAGGCCCACGAGCTGCGGATGGCCAACGACCCTACGCTCCTTCTCTTCCCACCCCATTATTATCATCCTCACAGCGGCCTTTCATACCGCCCAACCTACGCAGAACCACCCCCTCGACGTTGCGACTAGCTCTCTCGTT